TTTATTCAATACATGATATATCCGTCCTAGTACAGGTTTATTCAATACATAATATATCCGTCCTTCTCCATGTTTATTCAATACATGAGATATCCGTCCTACTCCAGTTTTATTCAATACATGACATATACGTCCTACTCCAGGTTTATTAAATACATAATATATCCGTCCTTCTCCATGTTTATTCAATACATGATATATCCGTCCTACTCCAAGTTTATTCAATACATGATATATCCGTCCTACTCCAGGTTCATTCAATACATGATATTTCCGTCCTACTCAAGGTTTATTCAGTTGATAAATCCGTCCTATTCCTGGTTTATTTTATACATGATATATCCGCCCTACTTCCGGTTTATTCAATACATGATTTATCTGTCCTACTTCAGGTTTCTTCAATACATGATATATCCGTCCAACTCCAGCTTTATTCAATACATGATATATCCGTCCTACTCCGGGTTTATTCAATGCATGATATATCCGTCCTATTCCAGGTTTATTCAATGCATGATATATCCGTCCTATTCCAGGTTTATTCAATACATGATACATTCGTCCCACTCCAGGTTTATTCAATGCATGATATATCCGTCCTATTCCAGGTTTATTCGATACATGATATATCCGTCCTACTCAAGGTTTATTCAATACATGATATATCCGTCCTACTCCAGGTTTATTCAATACATGATATATCCGTCTTACTTCAGGCTTATTCAATGCATAATATATCCGTCCTACTCCAGGTTTATTCAATACATGATATATCCGTCCTACTTCAGGTTTATTCAATGCATAATATATCCGTCCTACTCCAGGTTTATTCAATACATGATATATCCGTCCTACTCCATGTTTATTCAATACATGATATATCCGTCCTACTCCAGGTTTATTCAATACATGATATATCCGTCCTACTTCAGGTTTATTCAATGCATAATATATCCGTCCTACTCCAGGTTTATTTAATACATGACATATCCGTCCTACTCCAGGTTTATTTAATACATGATATATCCGTCCTACTCCAAGTTTATTTAATACATGAGATATCCGTCCTACTTCAGGTATCTTCAATACATGATATATCCATCCTACTCCAGGTTTATTCAATACATGATATATCCGTCCTACTCCATGTTTATTCAATACATGATATATTCGTCCTACTCCAGGTTTATTCAGTGCATGATATTTTTATCCAACTTTAGGTTTATTCAATACATTATATATCCGTCCTACTCCAGGTTTATTCAATATATAACATATCCTTCCTACTCCAGGTTTTTTCAATACATTACATATCCGTCCCACTCCAGGTTTATTCAATGCATGATATTTTCATCCTACTTCAGGTTTATTTACATGAGATATCCGTCCTACTTCATGTATCTTCAATACATGATATATCCATCCTACTCCAGGTTTATTCAATACATGATATATCCGTCCTACTCCATGTTTATTCAATACATGATATATCCGTCCTACTCCAGGTTTATTCAATGCATGATATTTTTATCCTACTTTAGGTTTATTCAATACATTTTATATCCGTTCTACTCCAGGTTTATTCAATATATGATATATCCTTCGTACTCCAGGTGAATTCAATACATGATAAACCCGTCCTTCTCCAGATCCGTCTTTTTCCAGGTTTATGTAATAAATGATATATCCTTCCTAGTCCAGGTTTCTTCAATACATGATATATCCGTCCTACTTCAGGGTTATTCAATACATGATATATCTGTCCCACTCCAGGTTTATTCAATGCATGATATTTTCATCCTACTTCAGGTTTATTCAATACATTACATATCCGTCCCACTCCAGGTTTATTCAATACATTACATATCTGTCCCACTCCAGGTTTATTCAATGCATGATATTTTCAATCCTTCCTACTCCAGGTTTTTTCAATACATTACATATCCGTCCCACTCCAGGTTTATTCAATGCATGATATTTTCATCCTACTTCAGGTTTATTTAATGCTTTACATATCCGTCCTACTCCAGGTTTATTCAATATTCAATGCATGATATTTTCATCCTACTTCAGGTTTATTCAATACATTACTTATCCGTCCTACTCCAGGTTTATTCAATACATGATATATCCTTCCTACTCCAGGTTTATTCAATACATGAAAAACCCGTCCTTCTCCAGATCCGTCCTTTTCCAGGTTTATGTAATACATGATATATCCTTCCTACTCCAGGTTTATTTTATACATGATACCTCCGTCCTACTCCATGTTTATTCAATACATGATATATCCGTCCTACTCCAGGTTTATTCAATACATGATATATCCGTCCTACTCTAGGTTTATTAAATACATGATATTTCCGTCCTACTCTTGGTTTATTCAATGCTTTACATATCCGTCCTACTCCCNCATATCCGTCCTACTCTAGGTTTATTCAATGCTTTACATATCCGTCCTACTCCAGGTTTATTCAATACATGATATATCCGTCCTACTCCTGCTTTATTCAATACATGATAAATCCGTCCCACTCCAAGTTTATTCAATTCATGATAATGATAAACCCTGACTACCTAAGTTTTTCAATGCATGAATTAACCGCCTGAAATTAATTTATTACATATACGTTGCATCTCTTTTACATTCATCTGTTTAGTTTAGTTTTCATGCTTAAAAAAAAACTTTTAATGTAGTTAAGAATGTCAGAGCATTTAACTAACTAAGTGTCAAATGTCAAGCTAGACCTCAGTACAACGGCATGTATATCATTTTCTTAGAGAATTTACCAGAACCGTCTGAAGAATAAAAGCACAATACATTTAAATCAATTACACCCCCCCCCCTCTCCTCCTCTCCAATATCAAGCATATAATATTCAATTAAATTTCACAAAAATATTTCGTGTCAGTTTAGTCGCTATTAGAGTCTATTCTTTGTTATTTATCCTAGATGGGACAATCATGGAGCCGAGGAGATTACAGGGGGAGATCTTATGTGCAGGCATTGATTGAAAATTATCCTTCCTACTAGGTCATTTTCTTATTATGATAAAACCTTACAGGGTTCAGACGCCATGTTTTCTTTCTCAGGATACTAGCAGGTCTAAAAGTATCAGGGTTGGGAAATGAAATGTTTAGATTTTACCATATGGAGCTCATCTGCAATACCTAGTCCTCCCTTTCGTCCTTCTCTCTCTCTCGCTTTCCTTTCTCTTGTCCTACTCTCTCTCTCTCTATTTGTCCTTTCCTTCTCCTACTTTTTTCTCTCCCATTTTTCTTATTCTTGTCACACTTCATCACTCTTTCATTTCCCTTGTCCTACTCTCTTTCATTTTACTTTCCCTTGTCCTACTCTCTCTTATTTTACTTTCCCTTGTCCTACGCTCTCTAATTTTTCTTTACCTTGTCCTAATCTCTCTCTATTATTTTTCTTTTCTTTTCATCTTCTTTCTTCCCTCATTTTTCTTGTTCTTGTCCTACTGTAGCTCACTTTCCTTTTCTTTGTCCTACGCTCTCTATATTTTCCTTACCGTGATCTACTCTTGTTCTTATACTACTCTACTGTTTTGGTCCTACTAACTCATAACTCACTTTCCCTTTTACTTTTATTCCTCCCTTACTTTTCTCGATTTCGTTTTCCTTTCTTTTGTCAAACTCCATTTATTTCCCCTTTTCTTTTATATTCCTTGTTCAAGGTTGTCTACTCTCCGAAAATACAATATACTCCCATGTTAGATTGGTGTATAATCAATTCCTCTCGGATGCAAATGATCAAAATCTCGTATTTTATTATCTGATTATCCCTCCTCTATCCATTGAAACTCAATCGGCGTAAAGAAGGTTTATAATGGCACGCGTCCACTCTACTCCAGCTCCTACAGTTTCTGCTACCTGATCCTTTGTTTTTCCTTTAGCAAATTTTTTATTGATTTCTTTATCAAACTGTATGTTAAACAATCATTAACAAACGGAAACTGTTAGATCAGAAGCCGAGAGGCATTCTTGCATTTGAAGTTAGTCTTAGTCCTGTCGGCTTGTTTACAAGTAAACCGGGTTTTTTCATTTATGAAAAATTGTGATGTGATCTGTTTATAATTATCGTGAAATGAATCAAAGTTTATAAACATTTATTGGTCTAGCGTTTAAATCCCAAAACTTATACCGAGGCAAATAAATTAAAAAGAGTTCAGAGCGGAAAAAATAAAGAAATTAAGCACTAGAGAGAGAGAGAACGAGAACCAGTCTTGGTTTGAGAAGCGGAACCCTCCAACTGGTTTCCCTCCGACACCAACCATTTATCAGGTTCAGGTTCGAAGAGAATAACAAGACAGAACTCAACCCCAACCATTTCTCATATCAAACCTACCCGGAGTACGTCAAGAAACCTGACACCATCATTACTTGAGCTCAGTGTACATGGATACACTACACACCCTTCCAACCTCAACCCTCTCTGTATCCTCCTAGCTGCTGGCTACAAGGATACCGCATATTATTCAACTGAATTCTTCTACAAACGTTTATGTTACTTCCTCCGACTAAAAATATCTAGCGCTCTCTCTCTCTCCCCTTGATAAATACCTTGTTGTCCCTAGCTGTCAATTAGTAGACCTCCTCTCAATCATACACAGGAACACAGCAACAAATTTAAACTAGGTTCCGACACTACTCGGAGTAGGAGCAACAAAACTAAACTAGGTTCCGAAACTTCTCAGAGTAGGAGCAACAAAACTAAACTAGGTTCCGACACTACTTAGAGTAGGAGCTACAAAACTAAGCTAGGTTCCGACACTACTTGGAGTAGGAGCAACAAAACTAAACTTGGTTCCGACACTACTCGGAGTAGGAGCAACAAAACTAAACTAGGTTCCAAAACTTCTCAGAGTAGGAGCAACAAAACTAAACTAGGTTCCGACACTACTTAGAGTAGGAGCTACAAAACTAAGCTAGGTTCCGACACTACTTTGAGTAGGAGCAACAAAACTAAACTAGGTTCCGACACTACTCGGAGTAGTAGCAACAAAATAGACAAGGTTCCGACACTGCTTGGAGTAGGAGCAACAAAACTAAACTAGGTTCCGAAACTTCTCAGAGTAGGAGCAACAAAACTAAAATAGGTTCCGACACTACTTATTGTAGGAGCTACAAAACTAAGCTAGGTTCCGACACTACTTGGAGTAGGAGCAACAAAACTAAACTAGGTTCCGACACTACTCGGAATAGGAGCAACAAAACTAAACTAGATTCCGACACAACTCGGAGTAGTAGCAACAAAACTCAACTAGGTTCCGACACAAATCGGAGAAGGGGCAACAAAACTTGTCTAGGTTCCGACACTATTCGGAGTAGGAGCAACAAAACTAGACAAGGTTCTGACACAACTCGGAGTAGGAGCAACAAAACAAAAACTAAACTAGGTTCCGATACTACTCGGAGTAGTAGCAACAAAACTAGACAAGGTTTCGACACAACTTGGAGTAGGAGCAACAAAACTAAAACTAAACTAGGTTCCAACACTACTCGGAGATAAATCAACAAACCAGACTAGGTTCCAACACAAATCGGAGTAGGAGCAACAAAACTAAACCAGGTTACAAAAAACTCGGAGTAAGAAAAAAAAAAACTAGACTAGGTACCGACACTTTAAAGGGACCAAACAACGGGATTTGGCGTTTTCAGTCCTTAAAATCGTCGTTTAATTATTTCCGAAATATAACCTTAAAAAAACAAGAACAACAAATATAATGTTGCAAAGAAAAAAAAGCGTAGAGAAAATTAGAGTTTGTGGTCAGAACTCATTTCCATTCTTTCGCATTCCTTTGAAAAAGGGTCTTTGACTCTTACATTTGCCTACAAACATTCATCCTTTTTAAAGCATCAACTTGTCTTTAAACTTATTCATAAGTAGTTTCCAAACTTACTTAGACCTTTCAGGACTTAATGTCCGGACCAGGAATTATTATTAATATTTCTCAAGTAGTCCAGGGGGTCATTAGCACCTTATTCGGACAGAACCTGAATACAGGGATAACTAGTATGCAAAGTAAAGAGAACTGAAGATGGAACAGACTAACATATATATAGATTAAAGGGGCTGTTCACCTTTTTTAAAAGTAAACATAATACATACACGATTAAGCCGATTATACCGCCATACCAGAATTCTTCTAGCCTCAGAAATACATATTATCGGTAAAATTGGTTTATTTCTGTTTCTAATTCCAAAAATTTGTGTATCATGCTTTTTCCAAATAAGTGAGCTTTCCCTTTAGATTATGTTTACGATCCCATAAAGTGCTGCCTGTAGGTTTGAAAGTGTGAAAGATGTATTGCTGGTATAAGTGTGCGACAGATTAATTATTAAAAACTATGTTTTGTATTGTATAGACATATGTTCTTTTATATTATTTATTGATTCAGTTCGGGATTTTGATTGAGATTCAAACTCATGGATTTAATTATTCCTCACCTGCTCCCTACTTGCTAGCTCCGAACACACCCTGGAGTAGGACTGATGGAAACCAGTTATAGGAGTAGAACAAATATTTACCTACTAAACCCTTAATAAAGTTGTACATATTCTGATATCACATGCTCACAAAACTTTATCATTCCTCACCAGCTCCCTACTTCCAGGCTCCGAACCCACCCTGAAGTAGGGCTGATCTATACCTACCTTCGAAACCAGTCACAGAAGTAGGACTGATCTTTACCTACTAAACCCCTCATAAAGTTTTACATATCCTGATTTCATATGCTCATAAAACTTTATCATTCCTCACCAGCTCCCTACTTCGGAGCTCCGAACCCACCCTGGAGTAGGACTGATCTATCCCTGCCTTCGAAACCCGTCATAGGAGTAGGGCTGATCTTTACCTATTAAGCCCTTCATAAAGTTTTAGATATCATATGTTCACAAAATTGCATTATTCATCACCTTCTCTCTGATTGCAGGCTCTGAACCCAATCTGAAGTAGGACTGAGCTATACCTACCTTCGAAACCAGTCATAGGAGTAGAAAAGATCTTTACAAACTAAACCCCTCATAAAGTTGTGGATATCCTGATATCATATGCTCACAAAACTTTCTTATTCCTCAACCTTCTCCGTGCTTGCAGGCTCTGAACCCAACCTGAAGTAGGACTGAGCTATTCCTACCTTCGAAACCAGTCATAGGAGTAGAAAAGATCTTTACAAACTAAACCCATTTTGAAGTTGTTGATATCCTGATTTCATATGCTCACAAAACTTCACTATTCCTCACCTGCTCTACTTGCAGGCTCTGAACTCAACCTGGAGTAGGACTGATCTATACCAGAACCACCTTCTAAACCCGACATAGGAATAGGATAGATCTTTGCTTACTAACCCGATCATAAAGTTGTAGATATCTTGCTCACAAAATTACCCTGATCTTTCTCTCACCTACTCTAAAGTAAACCCTGAAAATCTTCTAAATAAAAATTAGAAATATTATTGAAAACAACAGAAAATAATTTTTACTATATTTGAGGGATCCCAGACTCAGCCTGTTCTGTTAATAGAGTAAAAAATCTAAACCAAATTTTCTCATGTTATATTATGTAAAAATACGAGTATTTGAGATGATTATGAATAGAATCTGTCAATGCAATGTGATGCTCTGATGTAGAAACCTTTGTAAAGATTCTAATTGTATTTTGTTTCCACTGTGCTCTATAGAGGACCTGGAGCAGTAGGACGCAGAGCACGGAACCAGCTGAACCTGGATCCCGCAGATCCAATGTAGAGGAACAATAAAAACATTTTTTGCTTGCTTGATTTCCAGAGACTTTTAGTTGCAAGTTATTGAGTAACTCAGGGTGGGTCGGATCCTGCTGACAGTGTGAAATAATGTCATAGTGTGGGATAGAGATAGATAGATAGACAGACACACACTCCAATCCGACCAAACAAAGACGGATCAGGGAAGAGACAGATAAATAGTAAAATACGAATTCCTGAAAGTATTTGTGAATATATTTTAGTTTATCTCCGGGTCCCCCTGATGGATAGGCATGTGAACTATATGAGGGAGTGTGGGAGAGCAAGGAAACTAGGAAGATAAATAGGAAATATTATAAGATAAACTTGACAATTAGATGCCGGGTACACATACTTTCATATCTTCCGACTCATCCTTCTCCTTATATAGTTTATTTATCTAAACCTTTCACATCACATCTTTCTTTCACATCCCATCTTCCTTTCACAACTCCTCCCTTCTCTATAATGTCATGTTTATGGTGAAAATTCCAGGCCATCATAGAACAAGATTATGATAGAATGTTGTTTTATCAGATACAAATTCTAGATCAGAGTAAACTCTCATCAGTATATATGTATACATATATACAGAACTGGGTAACTTAAAAATAATTTATCTATTTTTCTTATCATTATATATTTGCAAACTGACGTCGTAGAAATTTGTTTTTTCAAATGGATAACTGTTTTTTTGTACTCTATACAGTTTAAATGTATAGATGCAGGTTTTTTGTATTCTAAACATATATGGATACAGGTTTCTTGTACTCTATACATATATGGATACAGGTTCCTTGTACTCTATACATATATGGATACAGGCTCCTTGTACTCTATACATATTTGGATACAGGTTTCTTGTACTCTATACATGTATGGATACAGGTTCCTTGTACTCTATACATATATGGATACAGGCTCCTTGCACTTTATACAAATATGGATACAGGTTCCTTGTACTCTATAAATAGGTGGATACAGGTTTTGCACTCTATACATATATGGATTTAGGTTCCTTGTACTCTAAACATATATGGATACAGGTTCCTTGTACTTATACATACATAGATAAGGTTCATTGTACTCTACACATGTATGGATACAGGTTTCTCGTGTTCTATACATATATGCATACAGGTTCCTTGTACTCTATACATATATGGATACAGGTTCCTTGTACTCTATACATATGTGGAACAGGTTCCTTGTACTCTATACATATATGGATACAGGTTTCTAGTACTCTATACATATATGGTTACAGGTTCCTTGTACTCTGTACATATATGGATACAGGTTTTCTTGTACTCTATACATGTATGGATACAGGTTTTCTTGTACTCTATACATATATGGATACAGGTTCCTTGCACTCTATACATATATGGATACAGGTTCTGAATCTGAATTTACATAAATATACCCTGGGAGCATCCCACGCCCCTCCCAAGCTTTGAGTAGCCGCAAACCGAGCTTGTTACTCCAATTGACATGGATTTTACTCTCCGGGTGGGTTTTATGGTACTGAAAGGAACCTTTCATATTCCATGTATGTTTGGCCCCTCAATTGGTAAATGTTGCTCCCTGCAGTGCTCTATACTAAGTAGTCAAGTAATATTATTCTACATCTGTAAACACAAGAAGAAAGAGAGAGAGAAGAATCAGGGAGAAGTAGAAATTAATCCTTCTCTGAACTACCTAAAACTACCGAAGACAGTTTCTGAAACCGTGAAAAAATTAGATTTTTTTAGAATTTACATTCTTTATATGATAGATTTCCCGTTATTTCTTATCAATATATTCTAGGTTTCTCAACTAAATATTCTAGGCTTCTCATCAATATATTTTAGGTTTCTCATCTATATTGTCTAGGTTTCTCTTCAATATATTCTAGGTTTCTCATCTATATTTTCTAGGTTTCTCTTCAATATATTCTAGTTTTCTCATCAGTATATTTGTGGTTTCCCGTCAATACATTCTAGGTTTCTCATCAATATATTTTAGGTTTCTCATCAATATATTCTATGTTTCTCATTAATATATTCTAGATTTCTCTTCAATAAATTCTAGGTTTCTCTTTAATATATTCTAGGTATCTCATCAATATTTTCTAGGTTTCTCTTCAATTTATTCTAGGTTTCTCATCAATATATTCTAGGTTTCTCTTCAATATATTCTAGGTTTCTCTTCAATATATTCTAGGTTTCTCTTCAATATATTCTAGGTTTCTCATCAATATATTATCGGTTTCTCTTCAATATATTCTAGGTTTCTTTTCAATATATTATAGGTTTCTCTTCAATATATTATAGGTTTCTCATCAATATATTCTGGGTTTCTCTTCAATAAATTCTAGGTTTCTCTTCAATATATTCTAGGTTTCTCATCAATATATTCTAGGTTTCTCTTCAATATATTCTAGGTTTCTCTTCAATAAATTCTAGGTTTCTCATCAATATATTCTAGGTTTATCTTCAATATATTCTAGGTTTATCTTCAATATATTCTAGATTTATCTTCAATATATTCTAGGTTTCTCTTCAATATATTCTAGGTTTATCTTCAATATATTCTAGGTTTCTTTACAATATATTCAAGGTTTCTCTTCAATATATTCTAGGTTTCTTTACAATATATTCTAGGTTTCTCTTGTTTCTCTTTAGGTTTCTTTACAATATATTCTAGGTTTCTCTTCAATATATTCTAGGTTTCTCATCAACATATTCTAGGTTTCTCTTCAATATATTCTAGGTTTCTCTTCAATATATTCTAGGTTTCTGATCAATATATTCAAGGTTTCTGATCAATATATTCTAGGTTTCTCATCAATATGTTCTAGGTTTCTCTTCAAAATATCCTAGAAACGGATTACGCATAAAACCTCCGGGTTGAGCACTAATGAGCTAAAATTCTAACAGGGTGGTAATTTTCGTTTTAAACACCCATTTTTATCTATTTCCAATTTCTACTGGAAACATAAATAAAGTATACTTACATTCAATTCCCGTCATTTCTACCTGTTCTATCTACATATAAATATATTTATAGCGTACCTAATTCAAGTTTCAGGGTCTCAAAACTAGTTCTAGTCCATTCAAATTTTTATGAAATAAAACATCGATAATATACTTTACAGACATCACTAATTTTTATGATAAGATTTATTGTTCTTTTCTAACATAAAGTGAATCCATCGAACACTTCGATATGAATACAGAACTAACATGAACAAACCTTACAATAAAAAATATAAACTTTAAAAAAACTTAAGAAAAGATTTATATAAACATGATATAAATTATATAAATCTCTTTTTTGATAGATGATTGAATAACAAATTGATTATACATGATAAACCTATTTTCTTTGAGGCAGTTCGAAAGAATTCTAATTGGACTGTTGAGAACTAAAGATTAGGTTATCAAGTTTTATATATAGATATATATATACAAACTCATCCCAGACCTGGGTAATTGGTTAGTCTGAAGATAATATCATTGAGCAGTGGTCACCCTGTACCTTGTTAGTAGTTTTAGTTAAGCTGCAGTTACCATACAGTGTTCATACAGATAGAACAGTCCAGAGAATTATCTTTCAACAGAAGTTATAAGTGGTGAAATTAAACCTGGAATTGAAGGGCTAGCTCTACTTGTAACTCGGAGAACTGAACCTAGAGATATGGGTTCCAGAACTCAAACTGCAGTTAGCAGCTGCATATCTCAACCTGGAGTTTTAAGGGTCGGAGTTAAGCCCAAGGATATCAGCTGTAGAACTAAAGGAGTTATGAGTTACAGGACTAAACCTTGAGATATAAGTTGTAGAATTAACCTTTTATCAATGTGTTACAAACCAAAACCAGGAGTTATGAGTTATAGAACTAAACCTTGAGATATTAGTTGTAAAACTAAACCTGTAGTTAGTTATGAGTAAAACTAAACCAGGAGTTATGAAGGTTGGAGCTGAACACAATGATAAGTGTTTAAACTAAACTTTGAGTTATGAGTTTTAAAACTAAACCTGTTATAAGTTGTAAGACTAAACCTACTGCTAAACCTAAACCTGCTATACACCCTGTAAACGTCAGCTCTACTTATATAAACCCTGTATACGTGATCTATACTGCTATACACCCTGTATACGTGAGCTCTACTGTTATACATCCTGTATACATGAGCTCTACTGCTATACACCCTGTATACGTGAACTATACTGCTATACACCCTGTATACGTGAGCTATACTACTATACACCCTGTATACGTGAGCTATACTGCTATACACCCTGTATACGTGAGCTCTACTGCTATACACCCTGTAAACGTGAGCTCTACTGCTATACATCCTGTATACGTGAGCTATACTGCTATACACCCTGTAAACGTCAGCTCTACTTCTATACACCCTGTATACGTGAGCTCTACTGCTATGCACCCTGTATACGTGAGCTCTACTGTTATACATCCTGTATGCGTGAGCTCTACTGCTAAACACCCTGTAAACGTCAGCTCTACTTCTATACACCCTGTATACGTGAGCTCTACTGCTATACACCCTGTATACGTGAGCTCTACTGCTGTACACCCTGTATACGTGAGCTCTACTGCTATGCACCCTGTAAACGTGAGCTCTACTGCTATACACCCTGTAAACGTGACTTCTACTGCTATACATCCTGTAAACGTTAGCTCTACTACTTTACACCCTGTATACGTGAGCTCTACTGCTATACACCCTGTATACGTGAGCTCTACTGCTATACACCCTGTATACGTGAGCTCTACTGCTATACACCCTGTAAACGTCAGCTCTACTACTTTACACCCTGTATGCGTGAGCTATACTGCTATACACCCTGTAAACGTCAGCTCTACTGCTATACACCCTGTAAACGTCAGCTCTACTGCTATACACCCTGTATACAGCTCTACTACTTTACACCCTGTATGCGTGAGCTATACTGCTATACACCCTGTAAACGTGAGCTCTACTGCTATACACCCTGTATACGTGAGCTCTACTGCTATACACCCTGTATACAAGAGCTATACTGCTATACACCCTGTAAACGTCAGCTCTACTGCTATACACACTGTAAACGTCAGCTCTACTGCTATACACCCTGTATATGTGAGCTCTACTGCTATACACCCTGTAAACGTCAGCTCTACTGCTATACACCCTGTAAACGTCAGCTCTACTGTTATACACCCTGTATATAGCTCTACTGCTATACACCCTGTAAACGTCAGCTCTGCTCCGGTTCACCCAACTAAACTCAAGAACAAAAACGAGGAGCAGAGCATCAAAGAAATTCTTTTAAAATCTTGATTTTCCAACAGGTTTCTGTATCTAGGTTTTATATCAGAACATTGACATATGAAAAATATAAAATATGGTGTGTAAAGTATGGACCGTTAATGGGAGTGGGGGCACGCTAAACCAAAGTAAGTTGCACCTTGGATTGAAATATTAAAGGGAGTGACCGGCTATGTAAGGTAGTTGAACTGAGTATGCAGTGTTGTGGAAAACTTCTTATTTTTAAAGCGCTATTGAGAAGAACAAAAATTTTTGTTGGAAATTGAAATGTAACCAGATAAATTTGCCTTTTTAATATGTGTGCGTAAAATACAAACTAGAGGAGCTACGAGGTCACAACGTCGTTCCAGTTAAAGTGTTTACCCTCTCCCTATGTCTAGTTTGCGGTGGGAAGGTTAGCTAGGAAAAAGAAACTAGGGGATATTTAATATTTTCAATCTTTTGTGGAGTTTAAAAATATTCTTGACAGAGAGTTTAAATTATGAATATTTTCAAATGTTTGCTAACAGATGCTGAGTATTGAGCCCAACCCATGCATACTTTTCATACTTTTGTTTTCTTCATCTTCCTAAACAAACATCATAATTTATGTTGCTAGAACCTCAGCTATTGGAGGGTTCGGAGCCGCTCTTTATCCCTCCTCGTTCTTGTATTTATCTAACAGCTGAGATATATTTTTATTATACTCCTTAAATACCTCCTGAATATATGTTCATCTAAATATTTGTTTCTTTTAAGAAAGTTGCCGCCTGCTGTAAGAATTAGTACGGCATATCATAGTTTTTGAATCTCGTAAATACTTTTTTCTTCCTCGCTTCTCGCTCCGTCATCTTTCAGTTAATTCTTTGTTTTATATCTTTTTCCTTTTTTTCTTACGCCTACCATTCCACTGCAATATTTTTTTTCTTATTCATTTTAAAAATGTCTTTCTTCCTTCCTTCATAGTTTTTTTTGTCTTATTTCTTCCTTAACTACTTTTTATTACTTTTCCCAGATTTATACAGTCAGATTCACCTTATCATAGGAAGAAATGAAAAAAGAATTAAATCTTTGCCACAAACTCTGATTCTAGAATCCCTCAGTCTTTGCAACCCAATGTCTTAGATCTTAGATATTTCAAACTATGAATTCTGTCATATCAAATGATCTAAACATGAAATATCAAAGGTTTACACCATCAGGTTTCAAAGATATTAGAAAATTTAAGTTTGCGTCAAAGACTCAATTCCTTTGTTGTAGCTATCTATATATAGATAAGTATTTACTATCTTAAAAACATTTTTACATATATTTTAAAAATCATTAAAAATAATTTTGGTGTGTAAATTGTCTGATAAACCTGGGTTTATCCTTCTTTAAAATTTAATTTATAAAAAAATCAAAAATATCATATTTATGAAACTTAGTTTTAACTAAAAATGAACTGAAATAAACAAAACTGAACTAAACTAAACTAAACTAAACTAAACTAACTAAACTAAACTAAACTAAACTAAACTAAACTAAACTAAATTAAGCTAAACTAAACTAAACTAAACTAAACTAAACTAAACTAAACTAAACTAAACTAAACTAAACTAAACTAAACTAAACTAGACTAAACTTAACTAAACTAAACTAAACTAAACTAAACTAAACTAAACTAAACTAAACTAAACTAAACTAAACTAGGGAGGGGGTGGGGTGGGTTTATGCGCCCCAAGAGATACGTTTCATCTCAACCAATCTTATAAAGTAGACAAAGCAAAAATCATTGAAACCTACCAATCCAATTATGTTTTGATAAACAATCTTCAAAGTTTTAAACAATATTTAAAACAGCAGACTCGTGCAGAAAACTGAGAGTAAAAAGAATAGATTTAAATGATTGAGAATATTTGAATGAATCTTCAAATGTCTGAATTGAACTTGAAAACTGAAATTTTTCTTTAATTAATGAACAGATTGTGTTCTAGGTTGTGTCAGAGCAGAGAAAACTACAGATTTCCTGCTCCACAGTTTTCTAGCTTTCTGGCTCTTAGCTCGACTCAGTTTAAGCCTATATGCTGGCCCATCCCAGACATATGTGAACCAATCAGAGGTATGCTCTCTCTCCCTGCCGCCAAGACTGAACCAATGAGAGGGGAGCGCAGGACGATTTGGGTGGTGGCGGCGAGCTCATGGCAGATTGGCGCGGTACATCGGGATCCTCTCCTTCTCTTCCAGTCGTTCTATACACCCAGATACAGAATCCGATCCTGTCCCGCCATACTAGTGAAATCTTAGTGAAACATAGTTTTCTAAACCTCGTCCTGGGTGTAATATATTCGAGCAGGAGTACTTCATATCAGGGTTTATAATGAACAAATAACGGTTAAACCTGGAGTAAAAAATAATTTTTGGTTAAACCTGAACCATGATGAATAGATGAATTTAAGTAACTGACATCAGAATCTGATAATGAGGAGATTCCAGGATTGATATCCAGGTCCTAGGAACACATTGTCATTCATGCTATTCTCCCTGCTTAACTGCCAACCTCTGGAGATATCTCAGGTCACATATCAAACCCCCCCCCCCCTGATTCTAAACCAACCATCAAACCTTTATCTCTTCAATCAAACAGCTGCTGAATCCATGATGACCGGCGGATTTTTTTATTTGAAAGTTTAGCGGAGTTCCAAGATTTAGATTGGAAAATCAGCTTCTGGGTTTATTTAAATTCTTATCTTGGTTTTATCGTTTACCAGGGGCCATCCTAGTTTCAACTCATCATCCTAGTTTCAACTCAGCATCCTAGTTTCAACTCAGCATCCTAGTTTCAACTCAGCATCCTAGTTTCAACTCATCATCCAATTAGATTTCAGCGACCTACATTGTGTTTTAAGAATCAATTCGCAAAAAATTAAATGAATTTAAAAGATCTCTATTTACTTTTTGCAATGGAAATCATAACTCACATTGAAACAAAGGGGGGGGGGTTTAATAGATTAAATAAACATGTAATATTTAAAAATAATTAATAGGGGGATATAGCCCAGTTTTGCATTTCAATTATTAATCCATTAGAATTGAAATACAAGGATATCGAGGGTGGGGGGGGGAGAGAAAAACATTAAATCAAAGAGAACAAAAAATATTTTTAATTATTCTTTATTCCAAAACAATTCTTCATCAATCATGAATGACAATGCGAACTCAGTAGGTTCAGTTTAACCCTATTCTCCGTGTATACCCTGAGCTTGAGCTTGAACCTCGTATCCGTGGTGTAGGTGTAGATGAGCAACTGGAGTGGGAGCTTGCTACCCTTCCCGCTCCAAACCCCGAACCTTCCCACAATGGGAATTCTTAAAACAGAAATTATAGATAATACTTGGGTAAGTAACATTTTTTTATTATTTTAAGTCAAGATGAAATTTTACTCAATTAAAAGAAGGAATTGAGCTTTTGTCACAAACACTGATTTTTTAATTCCTATATCTTTGCAACCCAATGTCAAAGACCTTAGATCACGGACTGCCTTAGTACATTTGAATTTCCGAGCCGGGTCAAGCTTTCCGGTCCCAGTTTGTACTGTATCTTCTGGACATTGGGTAGATAAAGCAGACAATCAATAGGACTAGTCGGTGCAACAAGGTTGACTTTTGGTTGAATTTATTTTTACTAAATTGTCAGAGGTGCGTGAGATATTTCAAACTATGAACTGTGTTGAATCGAAAAATCTAAGTTTGAAATATTAAAGGCTTACTTCATCAATTTGCGAAGATATAGTGATTAGAAAATTTCAGTTAGTTGCAAGAACATTGTTCCATCAGGTTGCAATAATATATGAGTTTGTACCAAAACTTAATTCCTTTGCGAAATCTAGTTGGTTTTTTTTCTATCATGTTTTTTTCAAATCAGTCCCTTAATTCTAGAAGAATAAGTAGATGTATAAAACAACTTTAAAGCGTCAATCAAAAATAAATCCGTCCATCACAGGAAAATTGTAAAATAAAATAACAATTAATTCTGTACTACAACTATTCTCAACCTGATTGCAACATAAATTAACTAATTAAATTAAATTTCTTTAAGTTTAAAATTTCGAGAGAAAATTAACCAAGTAAATTAATTAGGTTAAGTTGGTTTTAGAATAAACTTTCTAATTTTTTATTGACAATATCTAAAATGTACGGAGAAATTGAAATTTTGAACACCTGAAACGTTGAAAAAAAAAATTTTAAAAAAATATATAAAAAAANCCTTGCTACAAACACTGATACAAACCCTGATACAAACCTTGATAAAAACCCTGATACACATCTTGATACAAACCTTGCTACAAACACTGATACAAACCCTGATACAAACCTTGATAAAAACCCTGATACACATCTTGATACAAACCTTGCTACAAACACTGATACAAACCCTGATACAAACCTTGATAAAAACCCTGATACACATCTTGATACAAACCTTGCTACAAACACTGATACAAACCCTGATACAAACCTTGATAAAAACCCTGATACACATCTTGATACAAACCCTGATACAAACCCTAACACAAACTTTATTACAAACCATGATACAAACACCCATACAAACCCTGATGCAAACCCTGATACAAACACCGATACAAACTCTGATACAAACCCTGATATAAAACCTAATACAAACCCTGATACAAACCCTGATACAAATCCTGATACAAACCCTGATACAAACCTTGATACAAACCTTGATAAAACCAAGATACAAACCCTGTTGCACGTCTTGATACAAACACTGATACAAACCCTGATACAAAACTTGAAGACAAACCTCGTTACAAACCCTGATACAAACCTTGATACAAACCTTGATGTAAAACTTGATACAAACCTTAATACAAACCCTGATAAACACACTAATGCAAACACTGATACAAACCTTGATACAAACCTTGATACAAAACTTGATAAAACCAAGATACAAACCCTGTTACACGTCTTGATACAAACACTGATACAAACCCTGATACAAAACTTGAAGACAAACCTTAATACAAACCCTGATACACACACTAATGCAAACATTGATACAAACCTTGTAATTCTCAATAATTATATGTTTTAGAGATTTTTTTCCGTGCCTTTTCATTATTTTTAAATTTTTTTAATTCAAACCAGTAAATGAATTTAAGAATGAAAAATATGTTTTGATTCATTTTTAGCAATATTTGAAAAACTGCAGTTTAATATGAAAATTTGATTATTCATTTCATTTGTTTCATAAACAATTTCATAGTCTTGGTAATGTTTACGTAATAAAATTATTTTTAGTCGTGTACAGTGGTCTTCAAAATGAAATGGGAAAAGAAAGATTGAATATTAATCCATTGCCAAGTTATTGAAATGTTTAAAGATGTATTTGTTCTAAAAAATTTTCCTCATTTTGTTATATATATAATTATACATTGAAAAGAAAAAAAGAACGTATGAATCCAAAAGTTACTTCAAGGGAAGAAAAGAGAATTGAAAATTATTAAATTTTAGTTTGAAAAATTAGGATAACCCATTTATCCTTAATTTGACAAAGGTATAAAAGTACCGTTACGAATCGTACTTAGCACTGTTTTAACATTCAATATCATTTAAAATACCATGAAAATATTGAAGAAGAGTCAAGCACTTTGCACACATAAATAAACCTTAAAACAAAGCTATTATCCTTCAGTTTGTAAAACTGCCTTTTCAGGCCAATTTTTCTACCGTCATAAATTAAAGCACAAGGTTAAAGCAGGTCTCTATACAATCTCTCAAACAATCAAACCCTTCCAAATTCTTGGAAAATAAGAAAACAATATTTTTGTTAAAATGTCTGAATTTGTTGGTTGGAGAAGTTCTAGTTCAGCTCAAGTCAGCTGTAAATCTTTATATTTTACTTAACAAATATTTGGACAAATGAAAGCTTTATTGTTTTTGTTGGGATTAAAAATTTCAAGTTTTTAAATGGACTCTGTGCCGTTTTTAAAGAAGGAATTTTAGGGTATATTTGTATCCGTATTTGATCCTAGATTCTCTAAAAAGTGTCCACAGATGGTGATAAAAAGAGTTTTGAGTAACTGATACTCACACATGTCGTTCATATATCAAGCTTTTGAACCCATTCTTCTCCAGTAGCTACATAAAGCACTGGATATCATAAGTAATATAGGTCCGGGAACCAATTCATGGGTTTATATTCAAATATCTCAGCTTTCAAAAGTTAAAGATAATATTTTAATTTTCTTCATCATAATCTGTCAAAATAACAAGATGAGGAAAACCAAAGGATTAAAAACTTCTAAATCTTATTTTCTGAAAAATTGATAAGGTTAAAAATAAGAATTTTTTATTTTTCAAGTGTTTGGTTTGTTTTGAATTAGAAGCGGGAAGGGAGCAGGGTATAGAGTATAGAGTGAGAGGGGGAGATGTGACAAGTCATCTAAACCTTAAGAATGTGACTACTCAGCTACCATTGTTGATTTATGAAGACAAACCTTAATACAAACCCTGATACACACACTAATGCAAACATTGATACAAACCTTGATACAAAACTTGATACAAACCCTGATACAAACCTTGATACAAAACTTGAAGACAAAACTTGTTACAAACACTGATACAAACCCTGATACAAAACTTGAAGACAAACCTTGCTACAAACACTGATACAAACCCTGATACAAACCTTGATACAAACCCTGATACAAAACTTGAAGATAAACCTTGATACAAACCTTGTTACAAACCCTGATAAAAACCTTGATACAAACCTTGTTACACATCTTGATACAAACTTTGATACAAACACTGATACAAACCCTGATACAAAACTTGAAGACAAACCTGGATACAAACCCTGATAAATATCTTAATTCAAAGACTGATACATACCCTGATACAAACCTTGATACAAACCCTGATACACATCTTGATACAAACACTGATACACACCCTGATACAAACCCTGATACAAATATCGTATATGTTCATTTTTGTTTTATTAAACCCTTGAGTACGCCTGAAGACTGAAAACTGTTGTAAATGTTAAAGTTTATTTAAATTTCAAGATTTCAACTTTTTCTCCAAGTTCGGAAGCTGAGAGGGCTTGTTTTGTTTTGGGTAATTTAATACAAACAGTTGGGACGGATTGCTAGAATTTAATACAAGCAGTTGGGACGGATTGCTAGAATTTAATACAGGCAGTAGGGACGGATTGGTAGAATTTAATACAAGCAGTTGGGACGGATAGAAAGAATTTAATTTAAACAGTTAAGATGGATTGCTAGAATTTTATACAAGCAGTTGGAATGGATTGCTAGAATTTTATACAAGCAGTTGGGATGGATTGCTAGAATTTAATATAAACGGTTGGAAGGGATTGCTAGAATTTAAAAATATCAGTAGGGTAGGACTTCTAGAATTAAATAGATGTATAATTTGAAAGAATTACCAGATCTAGGGAATACTTAAAGGGAAAGAGTTCCTAACTGTAGATTGACAAGAGCCACCCAAACTCTGGTGTAGAGTGTTTCTATAGTTTAGAAACTGTAGACGGCATTCACCATAGATATATGTAAATATATTTTTACATACAAACATACAATTCAAATGTGAAGTTCGTTTTGTACACTTTACAGAACATAGTCCATTGTAAAGGTTCTATTGTACACTGTACATCACACAAAATAGCGTAAAGATTGTACTGTACAGTGCAACAGAACAAAGTAAAGTCTTAAAGGTTGTGCTGTACAGTGTACATAATCTTGTACAGTGTAAAACTAATACTGTACACTGCGTGTACAGCAAGAAAATGAAAGTTTTGAATCAATCGTTAATCTTGAACTAATTAGGCAAACTTGGATGAATTCATTTTTCCTGGATTTTTGCATTTTTATGTCGGCATTTTCAAATTCAAATATTTGCAACATTTATTCCCAGTTTGTTTACAGGTTAAACCTTTGAAAACTGATCAACGCGTGCGTTTTATTAAATAAAAATGTTTGATTTGTAACGGTCGCCATTAAATATTTTTGTATGCAAAACAGGTCCAGAATCTTGTATTAATTGAGAACTATTGTTATGCATAAAAGTGTTGGGATTGATTTTTATTCCGACAATAAAACATACATTGTGTATATTTGTATACTCCTCCATATTGAAGCACTGTATAATGCAAGCACAATGAAATTAAACTATCATCTAACTTAACTACCATACGTTGACCATAATAGAAGTGTCCACTGCATTATTGATGATCCACCCCCTCCCTTCCCTCCCACCAGGTCCCCCCTCCCTCCACCAGTCA